GCACTTTTAAAAAACCTGGGAAACAGAAGACTGTTCTAATGTTAATTTACTTGAGGGCTGATCGAGTGATGTATGGCTTGAGACTGTCTAAACTAAAATTAATACTTTATTTATTGCTTTCCTGTACATTTTTCCCCAGTTAAGTGAGTTCCTAATTTGCCATACAGTCGATCTATAAATAGCCGTTGCTACTAGTCTGTTTTCGTCTTCTGTTCTTTGTCTAGTCGTGTTTATTAAATTAAGTGTGATTGCTTTATTTGTTGTGGCTGTTTGATTGGTGGTGTTTAATATTTTCGTAATAAATTTTGCTTCGTTTGTTCTTAAAAGCCACAAAAAAAAAAACTCCACTGACATATAAATAGTATTTATCACTCACTTTTCTAATATCTATAATTATTTTTGTATTATTGTAAAGCAAATACATTTCATTCATCACATATACACCTGTTTTATATTTTTTTATATCAAATAAGAAAAAAAGTTTTGGTTGTTTTTAATTTTCCTACCATTTACTTGTACGATCACATTCCCAACACAAACGAACGTCAAAATTGGTTTGTAATCAGCAGAAAGTGTTTTAGGAAACGCCACGACGAATTCTCTCCCTTCATTGCAGGAGCACTCTATAGGTATATTTTCAAAATAACATTATTAATATAAAATATTACAAAACATATTTCCATATATTCAGGTTTTTGTTTAGTTTTTTTCCCTGGGGTGGGAGAACTTAAAAGTTTAATGGGGAAGGGGGCAATGTTGAAATATACGGTGGCAAAGACCGGTAAAAAATAATTTTTTTTCTATTTCATCCGCGGATGATGGTGGTATCGATTTTCTAGCTATACGAAACTACTTCTCACCACTACAGAGTATTAACCTGTAACCGCTATATCCAGAACACGTTATAATATACTTATAGAACACAACGGGGAATGGCAACTCGGGATGTAGACATGATTTATTATCCATTTTTAATTATTTAAACTTTTTAAAATAGAATAGAATCTCGTAGAAAAAAGAATTGCGCACCAAGTGAACGCCAAAAATATGTGTATAATAAGTACTGGTTCCGGTCAAAAAAAATTACTTACATTTTGTTTGAAGGCAGAGAATTAGATCTTTTATTAAATGCGACATTTCGTCTATCTATCTGAAACTGTACTCAAGTTATAGGCTTCTAAAAAAAGTTGAAAATGTTCCACTTCCGGTTACCGGAAATTTTTGAAAAGTTGATACTGTTATATAATTTAAGTTATATAATAATTTTATATGAAATTTTATCAACCGTGCTATAACGGTACTCAAGTTATTTTTAAATTTAAAAAATCAACAATTAAAAAGAAAATATTCCAAAATAATAACATTACAATAAAGTCAAAGGAAAAAAAATTAAATAAAAACATTAAAAGTCAAAACGGAATATAGTCAAAATAAAATTCAATATGAAAGCTAATATAGACATGCTACCTTTAAATTTAACAAAAGAACATAAGCGCCTAAACATTTGGAATAAACCAATGATGTCGGTAATTAATCATTTAGTTATCGAAAAAACCGTAGAAGATTTAGACGCTAAAGTTTTTTTTTTCCAAAAACTTGTTTTACTTTTGCTTAAAGTATAAAATCTACATTTTAACATTCAAAAATATAGATCTAAAAGTAGGAAAGCTTCTTACATGTTCTTCTAAAGAGATTTTGACGAATTTTATGAAAACAAAATCAAAGTTTAGCCTAGACTGAATAATCTACATGTTAGAAACAAGTTTGCGAACGAGGTCATATATACATACTGTTCCGGCCCAATCTACCTAGAACTTTTGATCTAGGAGGGGAGGTAGACAAGAACACGAATTAAAACTAATAAACACCTTTCAATAATAGTTAAAGTTTGATTCTTACAACGGAGGTACAACACTTAAACGTAACCGCCACCACGGTACAACATACAACAAAGTCCTACCACCCAGAGGCGTAGCGACCCGGCGCCCGGGGACAAACTCTCAATATGGCGCCCCCCCCCCCATGTAATTTTTTAATATTTATAATTCAAAATAGCAGCTAAAATGAGCTTATTTTGGCGCCCCTAAAGTCGGCGCCCGGGGACAAATGTACCCCCCCCCCCCGTCGCTACGCCTCTGCTACCACCTAGTATAATTTATACTATTTACAACTACACGTCCTAACTGGCGAGCTGCCATACCCTGACTGACTGACCTCAACCCTTTCTAAAATGGTGGAGTCCCCACAGACTAGCGTGGGAACCCTTTTAATTAGAGCCTGGATCGGGTCAGATCCGGACATGACCGTCCACTCGGTTTCGTCCGATCTGGAAAGATTTCCCAGCGATAAACCACGGACCGCCACTAGCCCAGGCCTCACACCAGCGGTGTAACTAGGTAATATACGTGCTTTTGGGCACGTTTAATAGCCGAGTTCCCGAGGCTTCAATTATACATCGCCCACTGTGTGGTCGGCCAGTCCCCCAGATTTCTCACGGTCAACACTGTTCAGCTGCTGACCATGGCCAGGGTGATGAATGAGCTTAATTAAGGTCGTTACCCCAACCTACGGGTCAGGCCAGGTCAAAAAGGTGGTGGTCGTAACAATACATACACGCAAACACACGCACACACACACACAAACACACACACACACACACACACACACACACATATATATATATATATATATCTATATATATATATATATATATATATATATCTATATCTATATATCTATATCTATATATATATATATATATATATATATATATATATATATATATATATATATATATATATATATATATATATATATGCGCATATATATATATATGCGCATATATATATATATATATATATAGATATAGATATATATATATATATATGCATATATATATATATATATACATATATATATATATATATATATATATATATATATATATATATATGTATATAAGACTTTAATTGCTTACCTTTTAGGCTTAAGCCTACTGCCAAAATGAACAGAATATAAAATTCCATTTTAAAACCCACCACAGTACTGTTCATATATCTACAATCTCTGCTGCTTCTCTGTCGGCTCTCTGGCAACTAAACGTGATGACGTATCTGTACTAAGGCTTGGGCTTCATGCTCTTACTTTCCTTTTTTTTCACGTCGATTACCATCACAAAGGGCAGATCTATCTCACAAAGAGTTGATCAACAAATAGATGTAGTTGTCAGTTGCTAAGCAATGGAGTATTTTTGACTTTTTTCTTCTTGAAAAATACTTATATTTCTATCATCAGCGAAAGTGCGTACATTCTACTTTGATTCTTGGCTATGTTATCGATTTCTCATATCGCTTGTTCTTGTCTATCATGCCAGTAAATGTCATGTCATTGTTAGCTACATTCTTTTTGTTAAATTTGCATGTAATGTTAACTCAAGTTCTCTTCTATGTTGCCGTTTCCTGTCTTGCTGTTGATCAATAAAAAAACATTTAAACCGGAATCATTTATAACAGGTCTGATATTTACTGAAAACCTAGTCTCAAGAATTTGACGACTTGACTGAGTAATGTCATTTAGTGCAATTCATTGCATCCAAAGTTTCTTTCCAGCTTCCCTCCCCCCCCCCCCCTCCCCGAAGAACATCATCCCCCTCCCCTCCCTCAAGCGAGAAAAATAATTTGAAAAGACGTTTTCTCTATTAAAACGTACGAAATGCTATCAATTTGTTCCAGGCCCAAAAATGCCACCTCAGTTCTTTTTTTTTTAATTAAAAAAATGTATCTATAAATGACAAATGTCGTGTAAAAACAATAATAGAATGAACATGCATATTTCTTGGGTATCAGCCGAGTTTACTGAAGATGCTGGCGGAGGTGTAGGGTGGAGGATACAGGCGGAGCAGGTTTACTTCGTTCACTTACTCTCTACACTGATAATTATTTCGGTCATTTTTATTTATGCTTATACAACGTAATAGAACGTAAAAATAACACAGTTGAACTAAAATGCTACTTGATATTTTTTTTATTACTTTCGGCTGTTTTTCACCTTACCGATATTTACTTTTTACTTTTTTCCTTACGCTTCGACTCACTTTCACTTGCAGTCGCTTTAAAATAAAATCTTAAAATAAAACACGGTAAAAAGGTTTATTTCTCCCTTCTATTCAGAATGTTGAGGAATGTGTGTGACAAGTGTCATTAATAGCTGCGATACACAATCTGTGGCAACAATTTTGGGGTGTTTATTTTTCATATACTCTGGTACCCGCTGATCCGGTGCCTCGTATCTCAAATGTTGCTCAAACAATCACCCTATCGACTGCTCGTATCTCAGATGTTGCTCGTAACTCAAAGCAAACAATCACTCTATCGACTGCTCAAAAATTGTGTATGTTAGGGCACATGTACATTATAGTATCACTATCTTTCTTAGATCTAAATTGTTGGGCCGCGAATATTTACGCACTTTCTTACAGAAGCCTCACGGTGGCCTTTATGAAAAACTTGAACGTAAGTTGATCACCGACAGAACAGCCCTCGGTGACCACCAAATTGTCAAGGGTGTAAATAATTTCTCTATCTGCTGTAGACCCTATGCCAGAAAGTAAAAATGAAAAATAAATAAAAGAGATGAATCTACAAAACGAATTTCATGACACGGATATCACCGGCTGAGGTGAATTTCCTACCAACTAGGCAGACCTTGAAGCAACTTACTTCAACAAACTGGTTTTTGGGAGGGGAGCTTTAGCTCATGAAAAAATCAGTTTCATAGTTGCATGTCGGTCGCCGTTTCTCACGAAACTTAACTTTCCACTGTGTGTGAGAACCTGTGTCCTACCATCTAGTACTAGGCTTGACCATGGGGACCGTACAATACAAAACAAATAAATGACTGCATTAAAATAATAGTCGTGCGTAATCATGTCAGATGTGATTCGCACCAGTTTAGTGCACAAAGGTGTATTGGATCAGGCGCACCGGAAGTATTCCATAATTTAACAGCGTGAAACAAGTAAACGATCCTATTTGGGGGAAAGTTTTTTGCAACATGTTGTTGACTATGCTTTTACGTATCTTTAACTTTCTAGGTTTGTGTAAGACTGTAGTGTTGTTTTAATATCTTACTATTGTTTCTTAAATATAAGTAATTATGTTGAAACAGAAAGCACTACATTTATAAACAAGGCTTTGTTTCCCTGGTAGATTTAGAACATGTTTTAAATTTTAATGATGTAACTTCTAATGGACCCAGGGAGAAAAGTCTCAAAGGTATTCGAGAGGCCCATAAAATATTTTTAAATTATACACGGCGTAGTTAAAATTAATATGATTATAAAATCCAATCTGGTTGGTTTTTCTCTGACTAAATATTTTTTATATTTTCGGTAACTATATAAAAATTTTGGTTTTCAAGTGCAATGGCGACATTATTTCCAGTTCTCTGGATTTGTAACTTTTATAACATCGTTTCTAAAAATATTATTTTTTGGAATTATTTTTAGGCTAAGTTTTTATTTTTTATTAGTTTTTACGTGGTCGCTGTTGATTGCAAAATCTAAAAACGCATGTTTTTAATACCTGTGAACAATTTGCTGGAAGGATTCTCGCCAACTCGGTCGCCTCCATTAGAATATAGTATTACTCCCTGACTACCACTCGAACCCACACTTTGACGCAGGTGTATAATTGCTGTACGCTTTACGATACCCACGTTAATAACATAGAAATCAAGCTAAAACGTTTATCCAATTACAACCAGAATGAAATACAACACGGGTAAATACACAACAAATCATACTAAAAACAACAACAAAAGGACTGTAAATGACATTTAATACCATCGTCTAAGCCCGGGTATTAATTTATCGATTACACACTTTGCTGGAACTTAATAAACAACAAATCAATGTTATACAACACGAGCACATGTTAAGGGAATACAACCTGACTCTATGGGGGTCTTTAACGACTGTAACGACACTTTTATAATAGACTCAATTCTGGGGACGGGGGGGGGGGAGCTCTTCAGTTGGGACACGTCAGCAACCAGTTTATTCTTAGGCTCGTTACTTTTCCATCACTGAAATAGAAATATAACCTAAAAGTCAATCGAAATACTATTAATTAACTGATTAAAAGCATTCAGGGGTCATCCATCAATGACGTCACACTTCCTTGACGATTTTTACCTCCCCCCTCCCCTCCGTCACACATCGTCACTAAAAGCTAGACCCCCCCCCCCCTAAAATGACGTCACACCTCAGTCTACAACCCCCCATCAAAATTGCAGTTGAATGTTTCTTAAAACATCGATATTTTTCCAAAATCTTGTCTGTACTGTCAAAATAGAGTATTTTAATTTTTTCCTATTAAAAACTGTTATATAAATTGCGAAATAACGTCTAAAATTCGTTTTCTAACATTGCTTTTTTACAATGCAAAAGTGTGACGTCGCACCATCTAACCCCCCCCCCCCTCCCTCCTCATCACACACCGTCACAAAATTACGGACCCCCCTCCCCATACGTGTGACGTCAGTTATGGACGACCCCTCATTGTAAGTAGCAAAATGTATTCAAAAATAATTCCCTTAGTATTAAAGGCGTTTAATACTTCCATATTGCAAATAAATTATTAAATGTACAGGCACAAAAAACAAAGAATCAATAATTAAAATGCAACTTATATTTTAATTTTTTTGTTGCAGATGTTAGGATTGCACTTATCTTTAAAATTGTAGCACTCATTTGTGCAACTATTTTTGTTTCATCGTTCCCATTTCTGACAAACACAGAATTTCTGCTTAACCTAACCACATACCTGAACACCGGTAAGAATATTTTATTATTTACCAGTTTTTGTATTGTACAATTTAACTTTCCTTATAATATTATATGTGACCTGAACTGTAGAGCGCTAGGCTACTAACCGCAGAGTCTTGAGTTCGAACCCGGCCAAAGCCAGACAAACTTCCCCCAAGTCGATTCAGCTCTAACTCATTCAATGGAAAGTTAAGCCGGCTGGGCTAATTGATAACAACTACTGCCGAGGTGAAAAAAAAAACAAGTGAACTCTACTTTATCTGCCCCATGGAGCCTTATGCCTATAGAGGATTATTTACTTTTTTTAAAAATCTGATAAACAAAATAAATTAATGTTACATAAAAGTGGCATAGTCTCATACACCTATATGTATATATATATATATATATATATATATATATATATATATATATATATATATATATATATATATATATATATATATATATATATATATATATATATATATATGAGAAAATATGTAATTGCATAATCTTTTTTTCTCTACATAGGCCTTTAGAGAATTTTAAAAATATATTTTTTATGTGAAAAAAAAATCTCTATTTTATTTTGATTAAAAATGTTTAGTTCCTTACGTCTGTTTAACTTCCATATTTCACAACGCTCATTTCTATTGTACTGCGACAGATACGGAAAACAATTTCAACAAGATGATTCACTACATAAATAAGACAATCTCTAACAAGTCCACGGGGAACTTTGATGTCTTCACCGAACCCTGTAACTCATCTGGACTCGGTAAGAGAACAAAAACTCTTGTGATAAATCATTTTTTTTTACCTTCTTCTTTTTTCTTAATGTTAGTGTTGGAATTTACTCCAACACAATTAAGTTGCCCATGTCAACTGGTTATGTGTCGTCGTTTTAGCCTGCTTTTGTTTCTGGATTTTCATCCAATCAAGAACAAACGTGTTTGATTTTGGTGTTGTCTCTCCCATCTATCGAGCCTCGTCTGTCCGATGTTTCGAACTGGAGACTTTTCTGTTTAGCAACCATGAGCTTTACCGACTCGACCACGGTGACACCCCTTATTATTTTTACAATATTGTGAGAAGAAAATACTCAATTAGTACCAAATTGGGAGGGTAAACTACTGTATAGATGAACCATATTTGTACCACATTGGATGAATAAAATACAGTAAATATAAATCTTGTACATCAGTACATTAAAATATAACATCATTTCTTACACACTGAACCTTGTGTTTTTACTATAAAGAACCACATGCAGAATCAACTAAACAAACATAATGTTTACTATCATTCAAAAGCTGCATTTGTATCAGTTGTTTTTTGACATCAGCTCTCCTGAAGTTAAACCTATTAGATTTTTTTTATTCCTCTTCCCTAAACACTTAGTAATAGGCCTTGTAACATAGTGGTGGTACTGATTATGTTTTTCACTGTGATATTTACTATATTTATTTTGAACCTTTCTCTAACGTTACCTAATGACGTCCTATCCTTTTTTTTTATTTGGATACCTTAAGCCTGTACAAGCAACTGCTCAAGGCCTTTGAGTGAGTCTTACAAGGACCGTCTGCTGGATGTCCTGTCGTCTGCCAACCTATCTCTCTCGAGCCAGGAGTTGAAGGATATTTTGTCAGTCGGCGACTCCATCCCAGCGGATGACGTCATCATCCTGTCGGCCGCCTCGTCCAATCATTTTGACGAGATGCAGGGGATGTTCTACAACCTGCACAACCACGTACTTCCGGTGCTGAATAACGTCACAATCGTGCTGTTCGACATTGGCCTATCAGAGACTGAGAGAAACAAGGTTTGCTTTGAGCATGTGCTTTTTGAATCTACACATTTTATTCATATTCATACTTCATCCTTGTAGGTACTAAATTAAAATCTAAAAAATCAGTCTATTTTTAGAATGAACGAAGTTAAGAACATTATTATTTTAGCTTGGAATTTTTTTGGGACATAGATCTTTGAACAATTAAAGCCATAGTTTATTCATCAAAATGATACATATATCAACTATTGTTTCTCAGCTTTATTAAGGAGTAATTTATATTCAAACGAAATTTAACTGTTAAAATCATGTTATAAAAAAAAAAAAAATTAAGTACACATCATGGGTTCATTTACAATCATCAGACAGAGAAGCACTGCCGGTGTAAGGTTGTAAGATTCCCCGTAGAAAAATTCCCACCACATGTTGCAAACAACTACTGCTACTCATGGAAACCAATTATAATCAGAGTAAGTCAAAATAAGTCAAAATAATTAACTCGGTTAAATGGTCTCCTGATTTAAAAACATCCTATACTGATATTTTATTCAGAAAAGACATTCACTAGAAGAAAGGCTGTAACGATGTTTCAATACGACTCACACTTCTAGCGACGGTTATTTTTTAAATACAGTGAGACAGAAACACAAACATACACATACACAGTCACACACACAGACATTTATATACCAGCATATACTTTTATATAAACATTATATATATGTATGTATGTTGACACCAGAGCACAATAGAAAAGGCGAGAAAATTGTTGATCTACCAAGACTCATCCATACGATGGACGTCTCGCATCACGGATACCATGGCCCGAGCGTCTAATGTTGGACTGGTATTTTTCCGGGATTCCCGTTCATGGAGGATTCCAGTGCAGACGGTCAAAGAGGTGAGTAGCTAGTAGAAGGTGAAAAATTGATGGGCGAATAGGCAAGTAGCTAGTAGAAGGTGAAAAATTGATGGGCGAATAGGCGAGTAGCTAGTAGAAGGTGAAAAATTGATGGGCGAATAGGCGAGTAGCTATTAGAAGGTGTAAAATTGATATTTTGGTCCATGTTTAGACATGCTGTTGTTTCTCATGGTATTGTTCGAAAGGACGGCACAGTGGTAGAGCTCCGGACTTTTAACCTTGAATACGCATCCCGGTTTCTAGTCTTTAGAACGTCTCGGGATTCATCCTGCTTTGTTGGGTACCTACCTCACGTTAGGAAAACTTTGGCGGCTGGGCATAGTGTTGACTGTGCTATCCCCCTGTATGCTGAAGTCACTGAGAAAGAACTCTAACTCATCTACCCAAAGAATCTTTGGCAATATCGCGAAACAAAAATTGCTAGTATGAGCTGTTTTATAACTGAGGTATTCTTGCCAGCGGAAATAATTATTCACAATTTGAAAGAAACCAGAGACTAAGATCTTATACCTAAGTATGACCTTGTAATTTCGTCCAACTTAATCGGTTGTGATCCGGAAATCAGGGTTCACTGAAAATTTAATAGTAATTTAAGTATACGTTTTTTTTTACTTATATATTACATTTCGCTAACCTAGCTCAAACAGTACTAATCTATCGAGTTCCCACAGAAATAGAATTAAGTAAAATTTCCGGTTACCAGAAATTGTTCAAAATGTATAGAGTTGTATAGACCCTATGCAAAAAATCTTACATTAATTTTTGAAATTCCATCAACTCAAATTCCTTTTACCGGAAAAGATTCCAATAGTTGGTTGAAAAACTACAAATTCGATATGATACTTAGCCCCTATATGTGAAATTCTGTTAACTTAATTTTACTCAAGTTATTGTGTAACAAACACACAGAGACATGATTTAAAAAAAAAAAAAGATTATCCGCCTCTGGGAGGTTGTAAAACGTCAAAGTATATAAACTTTCGATTTCGATTTAATTGCACGATTATAAAACATGATTTATGTTCCGTATACAATAAACAAGGAAGAGAAAGGCGTCGAGTACCGTCACACTCTCATTTAATTTGTGTGCACGAACTATACTTTATTAATGCTCTATTTACAAAAACAAAATTATACGTGTATTCATTGATGAATTTTAACTGTAAAAGAAAAAATGTTATCTATCTATCTATATACTACTAAAAGTCAAGTTTGTTTACATGTTTGAATATTTATTTGTTTGTTTGTTTGTTTGCCTGATCAAGTATCCTGATATGTTCGGCTCTATCTGGAGAGCTGTAAAATAGTATGTAGGTAGAGAATAATTTTTTAATGCAGACAGACTGTTAATCACAAATTTATTTAAAGACGTTAATTAATGTATTTATTTATTCATTGTTAAATTAACCGTATTTTTTTAAAAATGTTAATACTTTGAATAAACTTTGTGGGGATAGTGACGTCCCTTGATAGTGACGTCAGAGTTTTTTGTTGACTCTTTAGTACAATAAAATGGCGGCGTCTATCGAAGAAAATTGTGTTCCCATTCCAAAGTTTAACGCGTTCTAAATCTAATTTTCTGTCGGTCATAACTTTAACAATACGTCCGTTTGCTGTATTTATTACGTTCCAACACTTATATCAATTTTCAACTGTCTTTTTTCATTTAGTTTTACAATAAATTTCTCTAGATCTAAAGATCAGCTGTCGAAGGAAATTTATGAATCTAGCCTAGATCTAGATCACTAAACTCAATGTAAATTCTAAATCTAGACTTAATGTAAATTCTACATCTAGAATCTATTTCAGGCCTTAATACATCTAGAATCTATTTCAGGCCTTAATTATTTTATATAAATCTTTGTTTGGCTAATTTAAGATAAAATTTAATTTGAAAGTTACTACTTCTAGACTAGACGCTCGAAATCAAGTTGCATCAAAGTATAGTATAAAAATTCATTTGTGACGTCAGGAGTAAATAGCTAAGTTTGTAGCGTAGTCCGCTCTCATGCGAGTGGTACAGGTTCTAGACCAATATGTCAATGATATTTTTTTTCAATTTTTTTTTTTTAGATGTTAATGATAAAAAATGATTTTTTTTTTCAATTTTTTTTTTTTAGATGTTAATGATAAAGTTGCCTATCTGAACTTGGCAGGATACAGGGCAGGTGAAGTAGAGTTCATCTGTTTCTTTGTCCTAACCATATGAAAGGATAGTGTGGTCAGAGACATGCTCGGCTGGAATCGTTTTTTAAACGATAAAAACATGTTGTCTGAGACTTGGCGGGACACTGGGCAGGTGAAGTAGAGTTGAGTAGGTCACATGTGACGTCAGTATATGAAGGGATAGTCCGAAATCGGTGTTTTCGGTGTTTTTAAAAGATAAGAAACATATTTTTGAATGTGGGCTCTGTTTTTGTGACGATAAGTGACACTGCAGTAGCGTAGCGAGGAGGGGGGGGGGGGGGCGGGTGGGGAGGCGGGGGGGGGGGGGGGGCGGGGGGGGGGGAGGAAGGGGAGGCAGGGGGGGGAAGGGGAGGCGGGGGGGGAGGGGAGGCGGGGGGGAGTGAAGGGGGGGGGGGGCGGGGGACGTATGTTGGGGCGCCAAAATGGTTTGGAAAAATAAATTGAAAGGTTGAGGGGGGTTCAAATCGAAAGTTTGAGTGGGGGGGGGGAGGGGGTGCACATCAAAAGTTTGAGGGGGGGGGGGGTTGAAAATCGAAATCTTGGGGGGGGGGGTTAAAATCGAAAAGTTTGTCCCCGGGCGCCGGGAAGGCTCGCTATGCCTCTGAGTGACAGACGTGATGTTTTTTGATGGATGACCCCCGAAACCCACAGTTATCCAAGGGATGACGGGTATTCTAGTCTATATACTACTAAAAGTCAAGTTTGTTTACATGTTTGAATATTTATTTGTTTGTTTGTTTGTTTGCCTGATCAAGTATCCTGATATGTTCGGCTCTATCTGGAGAGCTGTAAAATAGTATGTAGGTAGAGAATAATTTTTTAATGCAGACAGACTGTTAATCACAAATTTATTTAAAGACGTTAATTAATGTATTTATTTATTCATTGTTAAATTAACCGTATTTTTTTAAAAATGTTAATACTTTGAATAAACTTTGTGGGGATAGTGACGTCCCTTGATAGTGACGTCAGAGTTTTTTGTTTACTCTTTAGTACAATAAAATGGCGGTGTCTATCGAAGAAAATTGTGTTCCCATTCCAAAGTTTAACGCGTTCTAAATCTAATTTTCTGTCGGTCATAACTTTAACAATACGTCCGTTTGCTGTATTTATTACGTTCCAACACTTATATCAATTTTAAACTGTCTTTTTTCATTTAGTTTTACAATAAATTTCTCTAGATCTAAAGATCAGCTGTCGAAGGAAAGTTATGAATCTAGCCTAGATCTAGATCTAGATCTAGCCTAGATCTAGGTCACTAGACTCAATGTAAATTCTAGATCTAGATTAATGTAAATTCTACATCTAGAATCTATTTCGGGCCTTAATTATTTTATATAAATCTTTGTTTAGCTTCAATGATCATCTAATTCGAGAATACATGGGCTTTTTTTGTTATCTACGTTCTATATCTAGATAAAGTAGGATTACTCACTAGCTTGGAGGCGTGGTCGGCTGCTAACAACAATATGGCGTACGGACCGGACGCATGTCTGCCGATCATTTTTAGGCCATGTTTACCACGAACAAAATGGCGGGTGTTCACATTATTTAAACATTGTATAGGTGGCCAGGGCTAGATATGCCAGAAAAGCATTTTAAAATTTGCTTTGGAGAATGAAGGCTAAATTTTAAAGTCAGTGTCATAAACATTAATAGAACTTTTTTTTTTTTTTACGTTTTCAATTATTTTTTCTTAAGCCCTATATGTGAATGATAAGGTTGACTATCAGGACCTCGCGGGGCACAGGGCAGGTGAAGTAGGGTTCATCTGTTTCTTTGTCCTAAGCAAATTAAGGGATAGTGTGGTCAGAGACATGCTCGGCTGGAATAGTTTTTGTTGTCTGAGACTTGGCGGGACACTGGGCAGGTGAAGTAGAGTTGAGTAGGTCACCTGTGACGTCAGTATATGAAGGGATAGTCCGAAATCGTTGTTTTCGGTGTTTTTAAAAGATAAAAAACATATTTTTGATTGTGGGGTCTGTTTTTGTGACGATAAGTGACACTGCAGTAGCGTAGCGAGGAGGGGGGGCGGGAGGGGAGGGGAGGCGGGGGGGGGGGGAGGGGAGGCGGGGGGGGGGGGGAAGGGGGGGGGACATATGTTGGGGCGCTAAAATGGTTTGGAAAAATAAATTGAAAGGTTGAGGGGGGGGGGTTCAAATCGAAAAGTTTGTCCCCGGGCGCCGGGAAGGGTCGCTATGCCTCTGAGTGACAGACGTGATGTTTTTTGATGGATGACCCCCGAAGCCCACAGTTATCCAACGGATGACGGGTATTCTAGTTTTATATGAAAGTTGATATTTTTATACTTTTCTTAAAATATTTGCATTGTATCTAATCTAATTGAAATGTAGAGCGTTAGTCTGCTAAACCAAGAGTTTCGAGATCGAATCCAGGTTCACGTCAATACAACGTCCCTGAGTCCACCCAGCTTTAATGGGTACCTAATTAATGTTTGGGGAAGTAAATGCGGCTGGGCAAAGTGCTCAACACTTCCCATTTATATGCCGAGGTCTAGAAAAATATGAGCTCTACCTCATCTGCCCAATGGATCGTTAGAAGAAGTTCCTTCACTTTACTTTAACTAAAATGTTGTAGTTAGACTTAACGATCAGAGCTAAAGTGGTAGACTGAATCAAACTTTACTTTAACTAACTAAAATGTTATAGTTAGACTTAACAATCAGAGCTAAAGTGGTAGACTGAATCAAACTTTACTTTAGCTAACTAAAATGTTATAGTTAGACTTAGCGATCCGAGCTAAAGTGGTAAACTTAATCAAACTTTACTTTAACATCAGACCTTCGACCACTTCGGTGAAGAGCCGTGTGCCTTCGATCCTTTCCCTGAGTTGACAGCCGCTGTGTCGTTGTATGGCAGGAATGTCTTCAACACCAGGGCTCTACTGGAGCCTTTGGCCAAGTGTGCTCTGACGTCACACTGCATCTGCCCACCTGGCTCCGAGTCCAATTTTAACTGTTATCCGCCCAAGGTGTACCATGGGTGCCACAGGTAGGTTAATAGGCTTGTAGGTCACTGTAAGAGTAGGTCAGTGTAAGAGTAGGTTAATGTAAGGGCAGGTCAATGTAAGGGTAGGTCACTGTAAGGGTAGGTCAATGTAAGGGTAGGTCACTGTAAGGGTAGGTCACTGTAAGGGTAGGTCACTGTAAGGGTAGGTCGCTGTAAGGGTAGGTCAATGTAAAGGTAGGTCAATGTAAGGGCAGGTCAATGTAAGGGTAGGTCACTGTAAGGGTAGGTCAATGTGATGTTAGGTCACTATAAGGGTAGGTCACTGTAATGTTAGGTCACTATAAGGGTAGGTCACTGTAAGGGTAGGTCACTGTAAGGGTAGGTCACTGTAAGGGTAGGTCACTGTAAGGGTAGGTCACTGTAAGGGTAGGTCAGTGTAAGTGTAGGTCAATGTAAGGGCAGGTCAATGTAAGGGTAGGTCACTGTAAGGGTAGGTCAATGTAATGTTAGGTCACTATAAGGGTAGGTCACTCTAATGTTAGGTCACTATAAGGGTAGGTCACTGTAAGGGTAGGTCACTGTAAGGGTCACTGTAAGGGTAGGTCACTGTAAGGGTAAGTCCCTGTAATGTTAGGTCCATTTAATGTCAGGTCACTATAAGGTTAGGTCACTGTAAGAGTAGGTCACTGTAAGGGTAGGTCGCTGTAAGGGTAGGTCACTGTAAGGGTAGGTCACTGTAAGGGTAGGTCACTATAAGGGTAGGTCACGGTAATGTTAGGTCACTATAAGGGTAGGTCACTGTAAGGGTAGGTCACTGTAAGGGTAGGTCACTGTAAGGGTAGGTCAATGTAATGTTAGGTCACTATAAGGGTAGGTCACTGTAATGTTAGGTCACTATAAGGGTAGGTCACTGTAATGTTAGGTCACTATAAGGGTAGGTCACTGTAAGGGTAGGTCACTGTAAGGGTCAATGTAAGGGTAGGTCACTGTAAGGGTAGGTCCCTGTAATGTTAGGTCCATTTAATGTCAGGTCACTATAAGATTAGGTCACTGTAAGAACAGGTCACTGTAAGGGTAGGTCACTAAAAGGGTAGGTCACTGTAAGGGTAGGTCCCTGTAATGTTAGGTCACTATAAGGATAGGTCACTGTAAGGGTCACTGTAAGGGTAGGTCACTTTAAGGGTAGGTCCCTGTAATGTTAGGTCCATTTAATGTCAGGTCACTATAAGGTTAGGTCACTGTAAGGGTAGGTCACTGTAAGGGTAGGTCACTGTAAGGGTAGGTCACTGTAAGGGTAGGTCCCTGTAGGCGTCATTGTAAGGGTAGGTCACTGTAAGGGTAGGTCACTGTAATGGTAGGTCACTGTAAGGGTAACTGTATTGATAGATCACTGAATGTGTAGGTAATTATACTCGTGGTTAACTGTACTGGTAGGTAGGTCATTGTTCTATGGCTCACTTTACTAGTGGGCCAGTGTATTGATTGGTCATTGTACTTGTAGGTCACTATGGTAGAACAGCTGTAGGTCACTATGGTAGATAAGCTGTAAGCTACTATACTTGTGAGTCAATACTGATAGGTCAGTGTACTAGTAGGTCTCTGTATGAAAAGGTCACGGTGAATGTAAATCATTGAATTTGCTGATGACTCCATGTTAATTTGTAACTGTTTTCTTTACTCCTCTTGTTTTTATAAAATGTACACACAGGTTTAAGAGCAAAAGCAATTTTATGAGTTGACTTGTTCAGTCATCTTATAACTACATTATATATATACATATATTACATATATATATACATATATTACATATATATATATAAATATATATATAAATATATATATATATATATATATATATATATATATATATATATATATATATATATATATATATACATACATACATACATACATACATACATATATATATATATATATATATATATATATATATATATATATATATATATATATATATATATATATATATATATATATATATATATATATATATATATATATATATATATATATATGTATAAAGTAAGTTTGGCTTAGAAGCCACGTTTATACCATAAACGTGGATTTTAAGTAAGTAATTACATTCCTTGATTGTAACATTGGTCATTAATGAGGAGGGGAGAACCCCTTAGTCTCTTAACAAGACTTTTATCTTTAAGCTCCCCTGAAATATTAATGTAATTATAAACTTCCCAGGTTCGATCAGTCGGTGCTAGGGATGATAACTGCTAAACTTTTCAACCAAGATTTTGGTCGAGTCATCTCCCCTTACTTCAACAACGAAGTTAGCCTCCAACGAGGGGATGACAAGCCTACCTATTTTGATTAGTTGATTTACAAAAGTGTTTTTGTTTTTAATTGAAACTATTTATTGTTAAGTTTTTCTCAAAGTGTTCTCTATATCAATTAACTACTTTAACTTTAGAAGCGTAGACCAGAAAATGTAAATAACGTTTTTGAGAAAAGAAGTCTTAAATCATATCAATTTTGCAAAATAAATTTCTGATACACTTTTTGGAATATTAATTAAACATATTTTTAGTTTACTGCCTTGCATCTTTTATATCAGTTACGTGTGTCATTTAGTGCAGGTTATATCCAATCATATTAATATAATAGTAATTTTTAAAAATCTGTAATAATTTTTAAAAAGTCAAGAATTTGATTCTACATTGACCTGAAATTTGAGTTTTCTCTACACAGACTGAGAGTTCCGTGCATCAAGAAATATTTTATTTTTTTATATTAATGAAAACAAGTGTGTCCGTAAGTTCTATGAAATGTCTGGTATGTATTCACCGTCT